TAAAAAAATGGCAAATTTTAAAAATATCACCTATGTTAACGGCAATTGAGTTTTATTAAATAACAAACTCAAGATCTGCTTTCATGATAGAAATTCCATTTATTTACCAGGTTGTAAAATTACAGACCTATGATATTTTATAAAAGTGATAATTCGTAAAGCATTATTTTTAATTTAATTCATCCATCTTCAAATTTTTGTCAAACTTGATCTATCAGCTATTAATCATTTAAATGCAAATATTTACTTAAAGATATTGTGAGATTGGATCCTTCATTAAGAGTTTTTAATAATGGATAAAATGTTCTCCAGAGTTAGTTTGCATCTTCTCATGACATGGATCATCATCATTAAAAATATTAAAAATAAAATATATAATCACATGATAGAAATTGTAATTGGCTTAACATTTGCATGATGATTTTTATTAGGCGAATATTTTTTAAATACTATTGGAAATTAATTTGTTGTGACACGGCTTTTATATATATTATAGATGTTCAAATTTATAATGTATAATTTGCCTTTAATAAAAAAAAAAATTTCGGTTTAAGAAGGACGCCCTCTTCGGGCACTTTTTGAAAGACTGCTGTTAGACCGATTTTTATGGAAACCGGGGCACTTTTGCATATTCTCATTGTTTTTTTTGAGTGTTCACTTTACCAGTTATGGCACTGACTAAGATCGAACTGCTCAAATTAGGTAGCTGATTTAGAATGCAAAGAACCCAAACCTGTGCAGATTTTTTTTCCTACTCTTTTTAGTTTTTGTTAAAATCTAACATTCTTAAAATACGGTAAGCATATTCGAAAATTGAATAATTGTTCCACCTAAACTGATTTTTTAATGATGATTATCCTAACGAAAACTTTCGATTTAATTGGTACTCTATAGATGCGATAAATGATTGCTCAAAATTTTAGCCAAATTTTCTATTTACTTGTGCTCAAATTAGATTAAAGCAATTTAGGATTAATCATAAATATTCAATATGATCCTTGTAGAAATTTTTGTTTTTTTGCTATCATTTTTTTTACAAAGTTTTATCTAATTTTATCGTTTCTGAAAACAAAATTATTTTTCAAGTTTATAATTTTATAGGCTTAGCTTGTCTGGAGTTTTTCAATATTTTTTTTATGATCGAGGAAAAAAAATGTAAAAATATTGTTTCAATACTTTCAATGTGTATATGTCGTAATTTTTAAAGGGATCAGAAATATCCGGGATCATCACGGGTTTTAAAGGGATCCCTTTAAGAATTCAATTTTTTAAAGGATAAAGAAATATACGGTATTATCACGTTTGAACCATAATATAGAAAGAAGAATCTTAATTTAAAACGCGTTTTGCTTTATTTTTTATAAATTAATTGTTATTTATTTATTTTCAATGTTGTTTTTTTTGGCCTTATGAAATAAGATATGTCTAATATTGTGTATCAATCGATAGCTAATCAAAAGATCTATTCAACTGGAGGTCAAACTCTCCCCCTTAATGGGCGAGTCTACTGGGGGTCAGGAATATTTTTATCAAAATAAAATATTTATATGGGTATCATATAATAGCTAATTTTTATATCTTTTAACTGAAAGTCTTAATTCTTGGTCTTGATGGGTATGACTAGGTCTGGGGGTAAATGGAAGGGGGGGGGTTGTAAAAAATATATTTTTTGATATGGGTATCAAATAAAAGGTAATTAAAAAATTTTTTGTAATAATATAATCACTCACAGAGGACGGGTCTAGATCTTGGGGGGTCAGGAATATTTTTATCAACACAAAATATCGATATAATAAAATTAAAAAGAATTAAACGAAACGCGCGTAAAACGCTTAAAATAAGATTCCTCTTTATCACGATTAAAACGTGATTCTTACTTAAAACCATAATTAATTTTTTAGTTATCCCTTTAAAACCTGTGGTGATCCCGGATAGTTCTGTTCCCTTTAAAAATTACCACAACATTAGTGTAAATGAATTGAATCAACCATTCAAATTTGATTGTCACGCAAAATAAAAAAGCATCGAAATAATAAATGAAAATAAAATTAAGCTATGAAACATCTTAGTACTCTCAGGATTGGAATTAACGGGGACTGCGAAATTGTCACCACAGTACTCGGATTATTTCCGAAGCAACCCCATCGGCGAAATTCTCTTCAAAAGACTTCTCTACCGCTTTCGATTCCCACCGCTCTAACATTTTTTCCTACAAATATGCCAATCTTAGTTCTTCGGCTAAAAGACTATATATTTTATAAGATCTCATCCTTGATTCTACGAAAATCTGCTCTCATCTAGCAGGGAATTCAACAAGGGGACCTCTTTCCACCTTGGTTTAATACTTTCTTGTTGACATCAATGAATTGATCAAAAACATTTCTACCGAATGCAAACTTGCTTTACCTGGTAGATTTTTTTCAAATATGGCTTCCATACAGAAATCGCATTATTTACCACAATTTGCAAAACATATACATTCCAAATCTTTAGATCAATAAAACTGAGGTCTGCTAAATTTACTGTTTAACTCCTAACAACTTACTTTTTTATGCAACCGAATTTATTCTCAGTTCTTCAGTTGGTAACTTACATTTCATCAGTATCTTTTTCTCGGAGGTGTTATCCTCCATACTTCAATTTAATAACATATCCAAATCCCTTTCTTCTCATCATGCATTATAAAACGTCTACTATTTTCCTAAAATCATTTATTCCTCTCGTAGGGTATCTTAAAGAATAGGGACTTTGAGGTTCCACGAATGCGGATCTTAATTTCTGCTATTTTTGATATAATATAAGTGCAGCAGTAGACGCTGAGAAAGGCTCTTTTAGAATCTATTGAAGTCGGTTTCCAGTATTTTTAGACAAGGTAAATTGCTTAAATTTATTATTGTGGCTCATCTTTCGCACCTTTTATTATGGTGTTCTATTCTTCCTCTATATTCAGTTCCAGTTCTTCGTCGACCAAAACATTTTTATGGAACATAATTTGTAATGTAAATTTCCTGGGAAACTATAAGGGAAATTTTCCTAGAAATTTTGAAATAAAATAGTAAAACAACGGGAAAAAAGGGGAAATTTCCTTTAAATAATTATTTTTCAGGTCAATATTGATTTTAAACTATTAATATGATATATAAACAAGTATGCTATAATTTCAATTATTTATTATCTTCATTTGAAACGATTCCATATCTCTAAAATTGAGCAATTTATCATTTGTCATACGCAATATCTTGGGTCAAATATATGAGCAGGGTAATATATGTTCCCTAAACAAAAAATTTCCTATTTTTTAATAAATTGTGTGATATCTATAATTTTGTTCCATAAGAGATATCCCTGGTATGAATAAATGCTTGAGGAACGTCAGATAAGTTTGATTTGTGAGCTTCGACTTCCTCTATTTGTGTAGAAATGACTTGATATAATTGTAAGATTTGCAAGATCATTTAATAAACTTCATTATCAAGAAGAGTAAGCCTCTTATCTTTATAAAAATATGTAGTATTGCGCAAAATATCTTTCTATTAATTATCATAACTATATTGTTCAAAGAGTTGGGTTGGCTAGACACTTTAAGGAAACAATTCTATTTCTATCTTATAGTTTAATTTCCTTAAATGTGTTAAAGAATGTTGAATTTTACATATTTTATTAATTTACTACTCAAATTTAAATTGGCAATATTTTATTTGTTAGATCCTTTAAAAACAAATGAAGTGAAGATGCAGACCCAATGCATTCGATAATTGGATATTTATTTCTCACAAATGTCCAGGCTTTCTTCATTACTTGCATTATCCTTTATTATGATGTTATTTTTTGTGTTTCCTATTTCTTCAATTACTTTAATAAATTCACTAGATATATCTTCCCGTATGTATATAGTTCCTGTTTCAATTAATTTCTAGAAAATTGGACTTGGGATTGCTATAATAAAATTTTTAATACATTCCACTCTTATATTTGTCTAACCCAACATTAATAAGGGTTAAATTTTTATCATCTTTCAGTTACTATATTTTTAACCCTTTCATATTGACTAACTTTTTACTGAGTTGATATCTTGTGAGCATTTTAAATTTTATTTTTAAAGATTGAAATAATTTCTTCTAGATACACGTTGCATTATGGAAAACGAACAATTTAACATAATATCTCTTTAACATTTAATCCTACTTCTTGTCCTTATTTCAGTTATTATTAAATATTTAAAATATACTTCAGTCAACAAGAAAATTTCCTTCCAATGAACATACACAAACAAAACACAATTATGATATATGAACCCAGAGGAAAAAATATTTATTAAAATATGATAAAATCCTGTTTATTTGATCAAAAAAACATAAAATAAAAATTGGGGTAACTATAGGTAAAATTAGATTTCTCGGGGAAATTGCCCCTACTTTACATCTCCAAACACATTATTTTTATTCGCAACCATAGAATCATTATCACAATGTGTATTTAAAAGTTTTTTCATAATTGCTGTTGTCTAATTTAATATTTGTTTAGACTGAACAATATTCGTATTTTTAAGGTACTTCAAAAGATTTACTAAAGTTGGATTCATACTTCTTCTACACTTTGTTTAGTAAATTAATAATTTGGCTTTCAAATTTTCCGAGCTTATTCTCCATAAAATTAATCGCAAGATCTGCGGAAGCCAACTAAAAATTTATAATGGCTTAAGAGCATTTTCCTCATCGGTCATCAATTAAAAATTAACGTTATTTAACAAATTATTTGTATTCAAGTCAGTAAGAACGAATTTACGAAACTTTAAAAAAAATATCTATCATATCCGCCATTGAATTCCATATCTTTTTAAAGTCCATCACGAATATGAGTTAAACACAAGTTGGTCAAATGGTCAAAGAAAGGAAATTATAATTTAAAATATTTAAATCTGAATTCTTTGGATTCGATTTCAGAAATCCTAGCCTTTTGTTCTAATTTCTCGGCTCAAAATCATTCGAGATATAAATTCTTGCTGAGAATGTTATTGAATGTAAACATTTAGAAACATCTCTTAAACTCATGGGATTAGGAGATTACCCCTAAACCTTTCCATCAGCGGTTTCATGGTCTTCATCTTGTTGCCAAACATCCACTTACATTCCCTTTGATTAATTGAAGATCAAACCATATGGGGCAATTCTGTCGTTCAAATACTCACCGGCCTTTCTCGTGTTTACAGAATTACTGAGATATTTCCTTCAGCCAAAGCTTCTTCGCACACCTAGATCTCACAGTTTTTCCACTTATAAACGAAGGATTCGGCTGTTTCAAATGTCTAAAAATCATATTCTCGAAAATCTCTCACAGATGAGCAGGTTCGCGATTGGTCTTCTTGTGATTATTTTGCCTTACCTATGTAAACACTGCAAAACCAGTGTTGATAGTAAAAATAGCTAGTCTGCCGTTTTTGACATAGTGCATCTAATGCAACGACTTTACTTTTACACTTAATTGATTGGCATTCCCCATAGACTTAAATCTACCAACATCTTTAGAACCGATGGAAACACCTAGGTTGAATGATCTCAATTCCTTGGTCAAGCTAGCAGCTCTATGCTTAGAGCTTAACCTGCCTAAATTCAAGGGCCTCATACAAATACAATATTAACGTCGATGCTCTTTCGCTCGAGCCCAATATAGTTGCATTTATCCTTATTACTAGTGTTGTTAAAAACCACGATTTCGCCGATTTAAAAACTCCTAAATCAAGTATTTAACTAAACAAATATTAACATATTAACTAAGCCTCGATATTTCACCAAATGACGGGAGATAGGCTTGGCACTCTTTTGGAAAAATCTCGAGACTTAGGTAAGATTTAGTTATAGCTACTTTAAAATAAATTATTGCTCTATTATGACTACTTTTAAGAAAAACTTAGTTCGTTACTGATTAGTTACTTTCTTAACAAAATAGTGCGATATAGTTATAGCTAATTTTTAAATGTAGCATGATTACTTTAAAGATGATGTTTAAAATTCTTTCCCTTAAGTGAGGGCTAATAAATAAAATATTGTTGGCCTAATTATTTATATTTTTTTTATAATCGTGAATGATCTTTATTAAAATTTATAATGTAATACATAATAAAATATTAATTTATATGTAATTTTTAATTGTAGGAAATTCAATGTATTATGGTTTATTGGAGCTATAAGCCTTCATTTGAATTTAATATTTTAAGCGCATTGATAATGTTGAAGTTGTTAACTTTTTTATAATATTACTTTTGAATTGGTTGAGTCGGTTGATGGGATATTTGTATATTTATCTTATCAGGTGCGCTTCTCTTTTTAATAAACTCATATATTTTTAATTCCATGAGTTCACACCAACATAACCTTCCTAAATTATTGGCCAAACTAGATAAAATTATTGTTCACTGACATGGGAAAATTCGATGCCCCTCTTCAGGGAACACAATTGTCTCAACCACCAAACCATTTTTTATATTTAAATTAATTTTCTTTCATTTCTACAAAACCAATCATAAATACAATAGCTAAACCAGGTGATATTGTAAATCTAAATACAATCAAACCAGCCAATTTTCAAACTAATTGGTCTGATACCTTTCTAACAATAGAAATAGGACCCACATTAGCAAGAATTCCTAGATATGCCCGAGATTCAGTAGCTGAATGCTCAAACCTATTAAGGTATTTAAATTCCAATTTCAATCTTTTAGACAAATCTTCTTATCAAAACAAAACAATCTATTATTTTTTAAAATTATCAATCTTTCTATTTGTAAGAAATATATAAGCATCACCAACTGACCCAACCAATTCATAAGCAAAATTAATTACAAAAAACATTACAAGTTCACTTAAATATTAAGATTAATGAAGGCTCAACTCCAAGAAACGTTAATACATTAAATTTGCTTCAATTAAAACACCCTTCCGTTTCTTATACAATCCCTTCAGGTAACACTTCCCATACCACGGCATCATATGACACCTACTATCTCATATAGCTAAATCTTGTAACTTACCAGCTTTTTAAATAAAATCCTTGAGGTTAGACCAATTTTATTTAAGACACGGCTAATAGCTACTATAGCTGGGTAATAGCTGTTTTTTTGGTAATGACTAAGCCTGAGCCGATTTATTTTTGCTAAGCCTCGATTAATTTTGTTTAAGGCTTCCCATTTTATTTGGCTAAGGCGAAACCTGAACCAATTTATTTTGGTTAAGAGCCGATTTTAATTGCGTATGGCTAAGCGTACGCTGATTTTGATTGGCTAAGCTTAAGCCTATTTTGATTGGCTAAGGGTAAGTTAAATTCTATTTTGTGACTAAGCTTAAGCCTATTTTGATTGGTTAAGACTAAGCTTTCGCTTATTCTGATCGGCTAGGTTAAGCTAAGATTTTGACTAGTTGACGCTCTGTTTTATTGTATAATAATAATTTAGAAGAGTGGCAATTGTAATAATCGTCATTAGAAAACTTTTCCAGTTTTTATTAATGAAAATAGGTAATAATGAATATTTTAAATATTTTTTATTTATAATTCAATAATAATGTAACTCAGAATAATGGCAATTGCCATGCTCGACATTTTAAAACTTTTTCAATGTTTTTAAATGAAAATAAGTATAAATAAATATTTAATAGTGTAAATTCAATAATAATATAAGTATTAAGGGTGACATTTGTCATATTCTTCAGTTTAAAAACTTTCCAAACTTTAAATAGGTAAAAATTTATATTTTTTATATGTTTTTGTGAAAATTTTATAACAAAAAATAGGGCTGTCTACTACATATTTTTCACCGATTCGATCCAATATTGGTTCAAAACCGATCCGATATTTATATTGATTTTTCGCCACCCCCTTTGAACCAAATTTAATTAAGAAATCAATATGTTTTATGCAAAAAATCGAATTATGCATTTAATTTAATTTTTTTTTATTCTACAATAATTTAAAAAAAATTATATTATAATAGATAAAATAAATATATTTAATAATATATTCAGTTGGTAGGTATGAATTATAAAATTGTAATATTTAATATTAAAAAATATAATATATTAGATTTTTTTAAATAAAATATTTCCATAATTCAGAGACCATATTTAAAAAAATTCTTTTATTTAAAGTAGAAATATTAAAATTGGCGTTATTATTTAAAAATATTTAAAATAAATAAAACTTTAGGTGTTCCTTTCTATTTTTATAAAAAAACCTTTAAAATACTATAAATATATTTAAAAAAATAAATAAAATTTAAGAGTTGTTGTGCATTTGCATTGTTTTAAAAAAAATATTATTAATGTAAAATAAATATACATAACATAAAATAAAATAACAAAAAAAAAAGTAAAAAGATCGGATCGGGTTTTATAAGTATCGGCCCGATCCTATATTTTTGGAAAACGCTAAATATCGGCGCCGACCCGATCTGATATTTAATATCGACACAGCCCTAATAAAAAAATTTATAAGGGTAACAATTGTCATCTTAGGGTAAAGCTTACAAAAGTATATAAAATATATTTTCACATATTATTTAAATTTTTATCGCACTCCAATATAATAAGAAATAATTCAGTCATAATTTAAAGAAAACTCTCAGAGTTTTTTTGTTGTATAAGATTATTTGCAAATTTTTTGAATTGAACCAAGTAAATATAAGTTAATATAATGATATTTATTATAAATCATAAAAATCCTGCATCAAATAGTACTGAAAAGACTAAATAATTTAAAAAATGCTTTTGATGCTTTATATAGATCTGCCTTCTCCTCAAAATTCTTTGAAAAATTTCCTGAATATTCCCATTATATAAATTCCTGTTATGGTCAGAATTCTTTTTTTTAGTTTTTGGGCATAAGGTTTAGAATTCTCAACAATACGATCCTTTAGACCCTCTCCTCTTTTTCAATAGGTATTTATGACATCGTTTCTAATATAAAGTCTAAATTCAATCTTGACCTTAACCTTTGGTACATGGATGACGGAAATCTATCTGGTCCTGAGGCTTATGTGTTAGAGCCTATTAATCTCTTAATTAATGAATCCAAAGCAATAGGTTTTGTTTTAAATATGGATAAAACAAAAATTAGTTAATTATATCAGATATTTTAAATTGTTTTAGAGTTGTTGATTGGGAGTCTGTCTCCTTTTTAGGATCCTCGTTAAATAGTGCTATCCACATAATAGCGAGCGTAGAGAAAGCAATTTTTTGCTTTACCAAATTGGAAGCTATATTGAATAATATTCCTGCCCATTAATCTTTATATTTAATAAGGAAATCGCTATGGCTTCTTAGAAGTTTATATCTTATCATGGCTTCTTAGAATTTTATAACTTATTAGGGCCTCTTCTTCATTTTTGAACTTTTCTTTCCTTCATACCTAGACCTGAAAATTAAAAACTTCCTTGAGGTTATCTTAACATTCATTCTTTCGAGTATAATTGGGCGATTGCACAACTTCCGACCATTTAAGGTGGTTTTGGTTTCTCCCTCTTAATTTAATTTCTTTGTCAACCTTCCTTTCTTCTCGTCTTCAATACGAGGAGGATATGAATAAGCTTTGAGTGGTAGAGATAGTTTATTTGAACTGCCTATGACTTATGAAGGAAAAATTATGCCTTCTATCTCTTCCACAGTCCTCAGCACAAAGAGACTTTCTTAATCCTCTCCTAGCTAATATTAAGAAATTAGTGGGAACTAATCCCTTTTTTGAAAATACTCCAATCTTCAAATAGGGACAAAACTCTGAACATTAATGGCTTAAATCTGTCCCTGCTGCCAATATCGGTCTTTTGCTATTCGATGAGGAGCTGAGGGTGGCCATAGGGTATAGGCTAAGATATTGTCTATGTCTACCCCAGAAATATAAAGGTGCAGAAAAGATTTCTAAGGGCCGACATGGTCTAACCTGTTTATATTCTCAAGGACGGTTCATCGCCATATAGCTATTAAGTTTATAATCTCGAACATATTAGGGTTGGCCAATACCCAAACCTTGAACCCGTTCACTTATCCCTGTCTGATAGGGAAAAACCAAATGGGCTCACAAAAATTTCTTGGTTTAAAGGAAACTATCTAATTTGGGATCTTGTGTCTCCCGATTTTCCTCTAACCCAAATATAGATCCGGTTGTTACAGCCGAAAGATAAAAAATTAGAAAGTGCTACGACTTTTCAAATTTTCCCTTTATCTCATTAGTTATTTGTTAGGCCATCATTTTTTTTTAAAATGGTGATCAGATCCTCTTTTAAATATTACAATCAACTTAAATCGCCTTTTTTCCAGGCTTTTTAAATACAGTTTTTATATTTGTCTTGTCTTAAATTGTTTGCATGATTTTTTTTTACATGCTATTTTTGTAAATTTTTATATATTATGCTTAAGGCTGCGTCCAAAATCTTAAAAATATAAATAAATAAATAAATTTTGAAGAAAAAAATAACATAAGCTATTTTTAATGTAAAAATAAAATGATGTCCAATTTCATTTTTCGGTATTTATTTATAAAAATTAAATTTTTAAAAAAATAATTAAAAAAATAAATTCGAATAAAAATTTATTTATTTTTGGAATTTTTATAAAAAATTAGTAAGTACAATTTTTAATGCTGTTAATTTTTATAAATTTATTAACCCAAACGATTATAGCCATTTATATTAATATATTTTTTAGTATCAGAGTATAATTTTATGGAAAGCATAAGAGTGCACAGAAACCTCTGGTACGAAAATGACTTAAAATTCAGAGATTCTGTAGAAAATAGGAAAATTCAAGAGAAAATTGGAAAAAAATTGGAAAAACATATAACCTGAATTATGATCATGTTCAGTTCTATGTTCAAATATTATATAATAAATAACTAATAATTGAATCATATCAAGCATTTAAAATATTTTAATTTTTTTAAAACTTAAATGTGTCCAAAGTGTTTTGTTATTAATTTGCGAAAATTTTAAAATTTTAAGGATTTTTTAAAAACATTTTGTACGCAGCCTAAAAAAGAAAATTAGAATTAATTCTTTCTTGGTTATATCCAAAATGTTTTGCAAAAAACCTCCAAATTTATAAATTTTCTCAAAATAATAAAATTATGAAACATGTTTGAAATCTTCCATTATTTTTTTAAAAGTTATAAAAAAAAACAAGAAAAGAAAAGAAAGAAGAAAAAAACATAACAAAAAAACTAAAATACAAAAAAATATTCTTTACTAATTTTTTCGACCCAAAAAAATAAATTTTGAAAAATTTTTTATACAAATTTATTAATTTTTTTAAAAAATTAATTTTTGTAAATGACGAAAAATAATTTAGAAAACTATTTTATTTTTACATTAAAATAACTTGTTATTTTTTTCTTCAAAATTTATTTATTTATATATTTTTTAGATTTTGGACACAGCCTTATATAGAAAAATAATAATAACATCACATACAAAAACATTTTTTTATATAACATTTTACTATATTTTGCATGTAAGTTGCAATCAGGGACCCAGAGTGAACCGTAACGAACCCTTAAACCATTATAAACCGTTATAAATATCTGAATCGTAACCGAACCGATATAATTATTTTTTGAAGGAGTAAAAAGAACCTTTATAAAAAAAATTAAACCGGTTCAGTTTTTATATTTTAGAAATGGAAATAATTTGAATATCCAGAATTATATAAACTTGCTCTTAAAGTACTGGCGGTTCCCGCAACACAAGTTTCTATAGAAAGGGCCTTTTCGGGGCTAAATTTTGTGTTATCGTCACAACGAACAAAAGGAAATCCATTTATATTAGAAAATATATTACTTATACGTTCAAATAATATACTTAAAAATGAGTTATTTTGAATCTTATATTTTTTTTTTATATATAATTCATAGATGCTTCTAATAAAAATAAATAGAAGATGGTGTTGCTACAAAAAAAAATTTCTAACCGCAATGAACCTTTATAATTAGCTGAACCGAACCTTTATAAATTTTAAGAACCGTAACCAAAACGTAACCATTATAATTTTTTACATACTGAACCGTAACCAAACTGAACCGTTATAAATAACGGTTCAGGTCCCTGGTTGTAATTAATTGCTAAATTTTATTTAAAATTGTAAAAATCTTTTTATTTATTATTGTTTGAATTAAAAGAAATTTCTATAATTATTTCAATTTACCCTTATTTTAAATATCTTCAATATTTTGATATTAAGAAAATTAATTCATATACTTCAATACTTTACTATTAAGAAAATTAATTGATATATAGTTTAACAAAAATATTAATTAAAATAAAACTGTTATAAATTTATTTTTTAAATAATATAAATTGGGCATAAAATTTTAGTCAATCCAAAATAGTTTTTTCGTAAATTTCACAGAAAAACAAATGCTTAATGTAAATAAATGAATGAATATATTTAACTAATTATTTTTTCTTAGGGGTAATTTTTTACAGGACACATAAATAAAAAAAATCATGATGGGATTGGTGGGACTAAGATTTTTTTAGAAGCCATTTCTTAGTCCAGGTTAGGTAGTAAAATTGGGTCTGATTTTCTACCACTAAATATAAATTTGATTCGGATAACCCACCATTGAAATTTGATTCAAACATTTAGATACAGCCCCCTCCCCCACCTCCTTAGCCAAGAAAAATGATCTCATTTTAAAGGTGTACATAATATATTAAAATTTATACTTTTGATCCAATCCAAAAGTATTTGGGAACTTTTTTTTGTTGAAATTAAATTATGATTTATATATTATCTTCTCGACTTCGTACATTATAATATATCATCCTTTTTTTAAAAAAAAAATATATAAATTTAAGATTTTGAAAACCGATTCTGCCGTCGTATGCATTCGTCACTCGTGATTTCTTTACATTAGATACAACTTGTTTCCGCATTTAATCATTGATAGTATTTCGTAAGAAGTGGTATTCATAAGGAAAAAATAAATTGGGTATTAAATAAATAGTAGAAAAAATAAATCGGGTAAAATAAAGAGGTCAATCACAAATTCCACCCTCGCCTTATGTTTTCGTTGCTCGGGAGCTGCCAGCTCGACTTGCACCATAATTCGCTCCTGAAGCGAATTCCTCTTTTAGGGGATATCCCCAAAACAAATTACGTAGAATTCGATATATCCGCAGCGAAAACTGTTCCTGTTATAACGAGTTCGAATTCTATCAAGCGTAGAAGGTACAGCGGGTGCTCCGATAAGATATTTTTCCACCATCATTCGTTGAACCTAGTCGTAGCCAACAATATTAACAAGAATCCTATCGCCCTAGACCTAGCTCGTAAAATAAGTCTCAAATATCGGAGGTTGCAGAGGCTTAACAACAAGGTTTTTGATAATTTTTTTTAAAATTCGAGATTCTTTTTCATATTCGATATTCTAATTGAAGTTTTATTACAACCTTATTTTGTTTAAGCCTGGATCGGATTAAAAAAAATAACATTTTCAAACTCTGCCCAGAATTTTAAATTTTGTTATTTTAAATTTTTTTTATAAAATATTTACAAAATTTTTTTTTAAATCGGTCCAGATTTTAAAATAATACACCGATCCGGGCCTGAAGATCTCTAGTATAAATGCAAAAGATAGATAAGATTACTAGCAGTGAGGGATAGAAAAGAAAGATAAATATTATATTATTAGTATCACAAGATATTCTATTTTTTTCTCTCTCGCATTTCTTCCTTTTCATTAACTTATTGGAAGATTGCGAAAAATGAAATACCTCCTATTAGAGCCAACAGCAAATTCTTTTTATGAGCGAGCCCGAATTATTTATTTTTTAGGTTCTAACATGGTCTGGCCTAGGTTTTTATTTTAGGTCCGACCGATTTTTTATGCTCGAAACGGGTTTTACAGACTGACCCACAGGGTTCTCTTAACGCCTTTCTCCCATTTTTTCGCCTAGCTTAGATTAAAATCATAAATATATAGAAATTTAACATTAATAGTTGAGTTGATATAAAAAATAAAAAGTAAATCAAAAATAAACTAAATAATAATGCTTATTATAAAAATATAGGTATTTTAATTTTTGTTAAGGAAAAAACGACAATTATTTTGACCCTTGTAACTTCTCACCCCTCTACTTTCTTCGTGAGAAAATTTATAAAATAAACATTTGATTTATTTTTTATTTATAAAGTCTATAATTTATTAAAATAAATTGTGTTCATTGCTTCTTATGTTGTTGGTATTTAATTTTTGTTAGGGAAATATAAATAAATTAAGTCTTTTCTAGTGGAATTTAATAAGGTGATACTTTAGGTCACCTTTCCACTTCACTTAAATCGCCACAATATTCAATTGGACTCATAGTCGCAATCATGAATTATAAAATATAATATATAGTAAAACTTTATCTTCCTATTAATAAATGTAATAAATATTTTAAACTTAATAGAGACCAAATTTATTTAATTATGATTAATTTTTAGTTTTTACTCATCACGTAAATTAAATATTAAATTATAGATCATAGGTTTTCCATTTATAAGGAAAATAGAGTTGTTTTTTATTCAATTTAAAAGTTTCTGAATAGTAGAGTTAAACATTGAAGGAAAGGTTATTTAAAAACATATATTATAGTATATAATGCGAAAAATCACAATAAACATCAGATATCTCTACAGGTCAAAATATTACGCCTTAGCGGATTAAAATTCGGATTGATTTAAATTTATTTTTTTTAAAATTGTCCCTAGGCTCGAATTTATAATTTTTTAAGCTCGGTCGCTTTTTTAAAATTTTACTCATTGCCCGCTCTGGGCCTGCGGGCAAAGCTTTGAACCCGAATCGGGGTTCAAAAATTCAAAGTTATTTGGTTGGACATTTTAAAACTGACCAAACAGGAACCGATTTATAGACTACCCATTCAACTCGAGATATTTCGGATGGGTTCAAACCTCTTTCAATTACAAATTGATTGATTTTAGAGATCTGGAATCGTTTTCATTTTCAAATGAACAAATTGAATAATTGAAATTATATCACACAAGCCCTAGAAATTTTTTGTTTTTTCCCCAAATTTTTCTCAATCTAAATTCCCGGGAAATTTACATCCCTAATTATAAGTCGCGTTATTTTTATCTGTTAATTTTGTAATTATCATTTAATGCTATTTTTCACATAATTTGACAATAATGCATTTTAGCCAAGGAGCCGAAACGCCTTAGTTGATCCCTTCCTTGCATTCGATAATTCGACAAACGAATCCAATAACCACAAAAAAGCTGACAGCGGAAACGTTCATCCCATTAGGTAACACCAACTTAACTTTAATAAATTAAAATATCATACGACCTCGATAAATTTAAAGGTAAGATAATTATCATATAATATATTAGATTTGGTAAATTATTCTTTAATTTCCTTTGGTTTAATTTAAAGATAAATCCTTTTAATATATATTAATTTGTTAATTTTAACTATTTCAAATGAATATATTATAAATTGTTATATTATAATTCTAACTTATATTTTTAAAGCGGTGGCAACCTCTATAATCCGATTAACTGGCCAACTTAGGCAAATATTATACCTTTTTGGATTTTTACATAATCATATATTATCACATATAGAACTTAAGACAAGTGACACATCGCCTAATTCCAGACTCAAATACAGATTCAAATTTATATATTTTTTAACATCGCACTCAATTTAGATCTAAAAGGGAAGATCAAAATTTGCCTATACCGTTTTATCCGGGTTATACAGTTCCGAACGGTTCCAATCATTCGTCAAAACCCTTCCAGCTTTCCGCTTCTGACCACACCTGGAAAAAAATTCCCTCCCTAGAACACCCTCAACCCAACCTCAAAAAATGGTTGTCAATATTTCAGGTAACAATATCAATATTTCTTCCTTTAAAATACTTTTATTATACCTTCCTTAATCATGATTAGTTTCCGGTTTATTTATATGCTCATGAATCACTTTTAGATTTGCTATCACGTAGAGAGAGTCAATATCCGAATGCAATCATCTATTACATTAGTTTTATTTTTACCTTTTTTTAGTCACAGTCTCCTTTAAAAGGGATAACTATTTGATTTAAAAAAGGTCATAAACTATCATGTTAGCCTTATCAGATTTAAAAGTACAAAAAACAGCCAAACTCAATAAATGATAATTTTTTTCTCCGCAGTTTCCTTAGGGAAATAACAGTTCATTTAAAAAATAATAAAACAATAGAATTGGGACAACGCCGAACGATCCCTGGCATTGAAAGAGGTCATCAAATTATGCCACCCCTCCCAGATCCGTCACATGATGAATATCATAGAACCCCTATTCCAGCGAGATTTTATATCGCTCTTACCTAAAGAAGTTTTTATAACATAATATATAGTCAATGTGGTGAATTTTTAAAATATTACTTTAATATTTGAAGGAAAGCTTACATTAGGATAGGTAGCAGTTTAAACATTAAGGGGCTTAATTTTTTTAAAAAAGAAGGAAATTCATATTTAAGATTCGCAACAAAATAAAAATATCAAGGAATGGGGGATGGGCTGTCTAAAGTTTTTAGGAGGGTTGGAGATCCCTCTGCTCTCCTAACGACAAGAGAGATGATTAAAGAAATAAAAGGCTGATTGATAATATTATGCTTAGTTTTTTTAACCCATTTCTGCATGATTTATTTTATGGAAAAAAATACACAAGGCTCTGCATTAGACTTATATAAACGTATATAAATTTATTTTTTTGATTCCATCCAAAACCTAAAAACAGAGTTTTATTTCAAAAATTTAAGTATTTATAAGACTTTAATGTAAGAATCGTAAGTGTTGTGTTTTTGTTAGAATGTTTTTTTATTAAAATCATCTGCTTCTTTTGGGTTATAATAAAATTTTTATAGCTGTGTTCAAAATTATTTATAAAGATTGCTATTAAATTATAATTTTTTTATATTTATTATTACTCTAAATTAGATGTTTTACGATACAGTTGATATGTATAAGCAAAGTTTGAAAATTTCCTTATTAGTGATTAAATTTACTATGCAAGTTATAATTTTTAAAATTATTATATATTATAATTTTTAAAATATTATATATTTATAGTTAGATCAAAAGTAAAAAGACCATTTTTATTTTTAAATTTTCTGAAGTTAACTATATGAAATAATTCAATTAAATTTAATTAAACTTTTAGTAACTTAAAATAAACTCAGTCACCAGTACTCTGAAGAGTGGTGGCTAAGGGCGAATAACGTTCAAGCGATGCTTTATTTACAAAATCAAGCCAATAAATAAGTATAATTTATAAATATGGAGACCCTGAATTCACAGTTAGAGCGAATTCGCAGCCAAATGCAAAAATAATATATTTTGTATACTTCGCCCGAATTTGCGGTAACTATGAATCAAAGTTATGATGATAACGCTATGATAAAATTTGAAAAACATATGTTGCGATACAATGATAAATAAATACGATTAAAATAATTGCGAATTTGATAAAAAGATATATTATATTTCTGAAATATATATAAAATATTTAGTTATTTTAAAAAATATTAACGCTGTGAAGAATCAACTGTGATTCCGATAGCGTTTAGGTTTACTAACAACGCTTGAACATAACACGTTTAATATAAATTCAGCGTAAGAGAGTAAAAAAATAAAATAAAAACAGTCAGAAACTTTTAGACCTTCAATTCTAATTATTAGGACAAAGGAAAAAGAAACCTTATAATTTATGATAAATATTATATTTGGGGGAGTAATATTAGTCTCAATTATGGTTAATTTTTGGAGAATAATTAAGTTGTCACTTATCAGGTTTTTTATAGTACGTTATAATCAATATAAGCCAATTAAATATTGTTAGTATATGAGTTAATATTTTTTAATATTCATCGTAATTATTATTTTAAATTTTGCTTTAAGATTAGCTATTAAAAATTGAAAGAAAATTTTATTTTTAGAAGAATTGCAAAAAATAATAAGAAAAAACCCGAATACGAGTGCCAAACTTACTTGTTATAGCTTTGGTCAACCAAATTATATGTCGCGACAACGTGAATTAATAAAAATCTAAAATGCGAGAGATGTGGCCGAGAAGGACATCTAACGATCAATTGTCGAGAAATCGGTAATTACAATATTTCGAGATGCTTTAAATGTAAAAAAATGGTCATTCTTAGGACAAAGGTTTTTCAAACTTTCCCTATACAAATCAACTGTATCGCATCATAAAACATCCGGTTGATAACTGTAATGTATTTTAATAGTAAACGAGTTTTTCTTATTCTTTTATTTTGTAATGTAAAAAATCAAAAATCAGCCTTTATTATTCAAATTAATCTCAAAATATATAATAATAATAAAAATAAATATTTTACAAAAAATAACAAAAAACAACAATTTAATACACATCATTTATCCCCAGTCGATCTGGTTTCGATCGTATCCTTTTGGGATATCGATCTTGACTTGTTTCTTCCTCCCTCTCCTTTGAATTCATTTCATCTTTATTTTTTATTACATCCTCTTTGTTTACTATCTCTTCGGTTTTCTCTTCTACTTCAGTACTCTCTCCAATTCGTATTCTTCAATTAATACATTTTCGGTTCTTTTCCTTAATTGGTCCGTATGACGTATAATCGTATTACCCGCTATACTTACTTCATAACGTTGTGATCCGAGTATGCCTTTAATAATGGCTTCTTCCCATTTTTTTTCTTTATTATTGTAAAGGCGCCACCAAACTTTTTCATTTATCTGAAATTTTTTATTGTGGTATTCAAACTTCTCCTTTTTGTTTCCCCGTTCGAAAATTTGATCTAACAATAGGTTTAAATTTTAGTAGTATTTCAGCGGGACTTTGTTCAGTTTCTGTTTCTGGTGTATTTCTGTAATTGTAGAGAAAAATAGCTAGGCTGGTTTCTAAATGGGTAATTCCATGACAAAACGACCAGTGATTCGGCCGACCATCTCAAAAATGAATGAAATGGCATGTTAGTTATTTATGTTGTAAATGATAATAAAATCCAAATTTTAGAGCCCCAGCTCAATCAGATCCAAAGATATACGCCTTCAAAGTAGAGAATCGCGTAATGCGTGATTTCTTATATCTTGTTTTTCTTAAAAAATACTTAAGATAGAATTACAAATAATATATCACTTTATAGCCCTTAAAATTTTACATTGGAAAATATTGAAAAAAAGTTTAAAAATTAGCGTTTTTGTATTTCCAGTAAAAATAAAAAATTAACATTCCTGGGAAGGGATTTTTTTTTGGTGTTGATACTCTCTAAAAATATTTATTACCTTTATATTAAACTATTTAATGAAAAATCTCGATAGCCATTTTTGTTTTTTTAATTTTATTAAAATTTTTATTATTTTTGTTAATAAAAAAGGATAATATAGATGGCGTTATACTAAATTTATTAATAATATATTATATTTAATAATAATATATTTTATATATTAAAATCAAAAAAATCGATTAAGTATAACCAGTATGATGTCCTGGGCCAATAAATGAGGAAGCGGCCCATATAAAGATACTTTAAAATTATATTCAAGCTATTATAAAAATATATCTATTTATCGCAATCATTTTGCGCTTAAATAGAAATTCTTGAGGCCGTAATTTTTATATATTTCACACTTCTGGATCTATCGTTATTATTTGAAATTAAAGATTTTATCATCTTATTTTATTTTTCATTCCTTTCTTTCTATTAAATCTTTATATCGATAAATAGGAAATTTAATTATCAATCATGATTGAAAAGAACATAAGGATTATCTTTTTTTACTTAAAATTTTTTTTTAAATTTAAAAAATTGTAATAATATGAAATCACTTTGTAGTAATCCATTCATTAGAGAAGGCCATAAGTCTATTTCAAAAAATCTACAAAAGGTAAGTTTATTTATATTATGGATTAAAACCTTTTTAATTTTAGATTCTGGATTGATATCGTGATATTTTTATTAAATATAAAATTAGGTTACACCAAAGATGATTAAAAAATCCAAAGGTTTATTAACAATAGGCCAATCATTATGTCACTCATGTCGCTTATATTTGATAAATATGGAATCCATTGAGGATATATCTGAAAATGAAGAGCCCGAACTAGCCACATCCAGTTCAACTTTGGATATAATAAATATATCGCTAGAAGAAATAGGCCAATCCCCAATAAAAAAAAGAAAAGAATAAGAGAAAAGAAATATCCGCAAGAAAAACTTAAAAAAATAACAAAAGCATTAAGTCAAAACATATTAAGAAGCAGCCTTCCTGAGTTTGATATACAAAATAATAAAAATGACGAACTTCTTCAAAATAAAAAACATCATTATCCAATTATTTCTAAGGAAAAAAAATATCAACTTCTTACTATATTGCCCCCTTCTTGGACCTTTAAAAAAATTGAGATGGAGTTCAAAGCCACGAATTACTTGGTAAGAAAATGAAAAAAACTAATAGAATTAAAAGGATTTATGTCATCTCCCAATATAAAACCTGGGCGAACAATTGATCAGGAAACCGTGAATATTATAGAAAAATTTTACTCTTCTGATGAAGTCAGTCGCGCGATGCCCTGGAAAAAAGACTATAAATCCATAATAATCAAGGGGAAAAGAGAGCAGTCTCAAAAAAGATTAATTTTAAACAATTTAAAAGAATTATATGAACGATTTAAAGAGAGGTACCCGATAATTAAAGTTGGATTTTCTAAATTTGCAGATTTACGGCCAAAAAATCGAATTCTGGCTGGAGCCAGCGGAACACACAGTGTGTGTGTTTGTGTAATTAATCAAAATTTTAAGCTTATGTTTGTAGATGCTAATTTGGCAAAACTATTAGCTATGCCAGAATATACATTACATAACTATAAAAATATTTTAGCTCAAACAATATGCAATCGCACTCCCTATTTGTTATTTAGGAGATTGTAACTATTGTCCAGACACATTCTCAATTAAAAAACAATTAGATGTTGTATTTGCCCAAAATGACATAGATCATATATCCTTTAAACAGTGGGTGTCTGTTGATAGAAGTAATCTGGAAACAATAACAAAATCTTCTCAAGAATTTTTAAATTTTTTTAGAAAAAAATCCACCTATGTTACGTCATTCCTTATATTATTATTAAAATTAATATAACGCCATCTATTTTATCCTTTTTTATTTATAAAAATAATAAAAATTTTAATAAATTTAAAAAAACAAAAATGGCTATCGAAATTTTTCATTAAATAGTTTAATATAAAGGTAATAAACATTTTTAGAGAGTATCAACACCAAAAAAATATCCCTTCCCAGGAATGTTTAATTTTTATTTTTACCGGAAATACAAAAACACTTAAAATTTTTTAATTTTTTTTTAATATTTTCCAATGTAAAATTTTAAGGGCTATAAAATGATATATTATTTGTAATTTTATCTTAACTATTTTTTAAGAAAAACAAGATTTAAGAAATCACGCATTATGCGATTCTCTACTTTGAAGGCGTATATCTTTGGATTTGGTTAAGTTAGCACTCTAAAATTTAGAATTTACTAAAATATACAAAATAAATAACTATCATGCCAAGTTTCGTTTATTTTAAAGATGGTCGTCCGAAAATCGCGTTTTTTTGGTCGATTTGACGTGGAATGACCCAAATCCCTCTCGTTTCTTTTCTAAAAGTTCGAACTAAACGTTCGGCCATGCCGTTTGTCTGAGGATGGTAAGGACTTTCGTGCAATAATTGTATTCCGTTTTTTTTCACAAAAATCATTGAAATCTTTGCTGCTAAATTGGGGTCCGTTATCAGAAACGATTATTTTGGGAAATCCGAATCTTGCAAAAATATTTCTTAATTTTTTTATCGTGCTTTCGGTCGTAGTGCTAGTCATGATAACTATTTCTGGCCAGCGACTGCTAGCATCTATCACTACCAACCAATAATGATTTTGAAATGGTCCAGCATAATAAATATGTAATCGGTCCATGCTTTTGGTGGTTTTGGCCAATTTTGAGTTTCTGTCATTTGAGGCATATCGTGTTGTTCCTGGCATTCTCTACATTTTTTGACCCAGGTTTCTATATCTTGGTTTATATTAGGCCACCACGCGTATTGTCGTGCTCTCATCTTCATTTTTACCATTCCGATATGTCCTTGATGTATCATGTCCAACACGTTGTTTCGGTATTGTTGTGGTATTATCATTTTCGTTCTCCATAATAATCAACCTCTCTCAGTTGTAATTTCCTCTCTCCTTTGGCTATACTCCTTTAAACATGCATCATACTTTATTGGCCATCCATCTATTGTATATCTGTATACTTTAGAAAGTATATCATCTCGCATTGTTTCTCTTTCAATTTCGCTTGCATTTAAAGGTGTTTCTCCCATCTGTATTTGATCTAGCGCTTCTTCTTTTGATATTGAAGTTCCCTTTAGGGGTAATATAGATAGCATGTCAGCATTTGTTATTTGTCTACTACTTTTGACTTCTATTTCATATTGATAACCGGCTAATAATAAAGCCCACCTTTGTATTCGGGCAGTTGATGTTGTGGGTATATCTTTTCTTGGATAAAATAAAACCATTAATGGCTTGTGATCTGTTTGTAATGTGAATTTTTTTCCATATATAAATTCTTTGAATTTTGTAACCTTGAATATGAAGTGCTTCTCTTTCAATTTCGCTATAATTTTTTTCAGCTGCATTTAGTGTTCTTGAGACGAATGCAATTGGTCTCTCCTTACCCCCTTCTATATGTGATATTACTGCCCCAATTCCTATAAATGATGCATCAGTTGCTAATATAATGGGTAATTTTGGATCATAATGTTGTAATATTGGAGTACTACTTATTTCTTGCTTTATTTTTTTATACGTATCTTTGCATTCATTAGTCCATTTCCAAACAACTGCTTTTTCTAATAATTTGTATAATGGTTTGGCTTTGGCTGCAAAATTCGAAATAAATTTAGAATAGTATGTTGCTGATCTTAGAAATGACTGTAATTGTTTCAAATTTGTTGGTTCTGGTGCATTTTTTACTGCCTCGGTATTTTTTCGGTAGTTGTAATTCCATTTTTTGAAATATTGTGTCCTAAGTATTCGACATTTTGTTTGAAAAATTTACATTTTTCTATTTTTAGCTTGATTCCATTTTCATCTAGACATTTTAGTACCTTTTTTAAATTTGTTTCGTGTTTCTCTCTATTTTTCCCGGTTATTATAATATCATCTAAATAACAAGCTACTCCTTCAAAACCCTTTAATAAATTCTCGATGGCTCGTTGAAATATTGCTGGAGAAGACGATATATTAAAAGGTAGTCTATATTTAAATAATCCTCTATGCGTATTGATTACAAGATATTTTTGAGACTCTTCCTCCACTTTAATTTGGAAATAGGCATCTGAGAGATCCAATATTGAAAATTCCTCTCCATATTGCAAATTGGCTAATAAATCTTGGATTCTTGGTATTGGATATAATATTAATATTTTGATTTATAGTTCTTTTAAAATCGCAAATTCTTAATGTTTTATCTTTCTTTTGAACAATTACTATGGGTGATGCATTAACTGAATATCAATTTTCTCTAGTACTCCTATTTTTTGCAATCTATTTAAATCTTCTTCAACTTTATCTTTTAATGCGTATGGTACGGGACGTGATTTACAGAAAATTGGTTTCTCGTTTTTCATATATATTTGTGCCTTATAATCTCTCAAGCAGCCTAATTCTGGTAAATAATTGAGGAAATTCATTTTGTATATTAATATTATTTATTTGTATGGTCCTTTCAGGTAATTCAGTCATTTTGGGAAATTTAATTATCCAATTTCTTCCAATTAGATTTTTGGTATATCCTTTTGTAATTATGAGAGGTAGTTCTAATGTTCGCCCTTTATATTGTACTTTTACTACAGTTTGACCTAATAGTGGTATATTGGTTCCTGTATAACTTTTAAGTTTTAGCATGCAATTTGTTAATTCAGGATGATTAAGTTTATTTTTCCAATCTATTTCGTTATGATTCCAGCTCCAGTATCCAATTCCATTCTTATATCGCTGTTGTTTATTTTGACATCCACCCAAAATTCTGGATTATATTCGTTTGTTTTATTATTAATAAAATTCACTATTTCTTTTCTACAGACTCGAGCAATGTGTCCAATTTTGTTGCATTTATAACAAGTGGCATTCTTGAAAAAACAAATTTCCAGGAGTGGCATGGATTTGGTTTTTTGTAGCTCGCATTATAATTATTATATGATTTTGATTGTTTATCATTATCATTAGTATTATATGATTTTGTTTGTTTATCATTATTAACTTTTTTAATTTTATTTATATTATCATTATGTTCCTCTTCTAAATGATCGATTTTAGTTTCATCTTTTTTTTTTTTTATTGCTGTTTCTACTGCAGTAGCTATCTGAATAGCTTTATTTATGTCTATATCGTCTTCGGATCTTTGTAAAATTTTTGGATTTTTTTATTCCGAATATAAATTTATCACTTAATGCAGTATTTAAATATTCCCCAAAATCACGTCGTTGCTAATTTTCTTAGATTTTGTATATAGTCTATTAGTTTTTCATAATTTTGTTGATTATATTGATAAAAATTATATCTTTCTATATTAGGTTTAGGATGAAAATGCTTGATTAAAATATTATGTATTTCTAATACCTCTTTGTTTCCCGGACTATCAGGTGCACATAAATTTACTAGTATTTTGTACGTATCACACCCTATTGTTGTTAATAACACAGATTTTTCTTGTGATGATGTTAAACTTGGTGTGTTTTTAAATTCTTGAAATAAGTTGTACCAATCTTTGTAACACAGGTTTGAATCCGTTAGACTTTTTATAGACTGCGCCATTTATGTAATGTATTTTAATAGTAAACGAGTTTTTCTTATTCTTTTATTTTGTAATGTAAAAAATCAAAAATCAGCCATTATTATTCAAATTAATCTCAAATTAAATCTCAAAATATATAATAATAATAAAAATAAACATTTTACAAAAAATAACAAAAAACAACAATTTAATACACATCAATAACTATAATAAATTTTAAAATTATAATGTAATAGCAATCTTTATGAATAATTTCGAACATAGTCGTGCAAATTTCATTATAATCCAAAGAACAGACTATTTTAATAAAAAATTTATGGATAAAAATTTAACAACATAAATAGAACAATTAGAACCTTTATAACAATTTTAAAAAATTGATATATATCTTCTTTCTCGCAAGTTGGCGCTTTACGTTTTATCTTATCTATCGGCTGATGACCTTCTCAGATCCGCAGCTACATGCCGTAAATGGCGAGTGTTGGCGCACGATAATTTACTTTGGCGGGAAAAATGCCGTGAGTTAAACATATCTTCGAACGTCAATTTGCCAATATCTTCCAATTTTTCGAATTCTTCCTACCGCTCTGTCACTATGAATGGCTACAAAGAAAAATGTGTGGGGACAGATGGTATTAATGATTTACCGTGATATTTATATTTATATGATTTAAGCTACTATTAGATCAATCTTTTGTGTGACGATCATAGTAATGTTTTTCTTGCCTCTTATTAGAGGTCTTCAATAAGCGAGGTTAACCCTTCCTTGTTTTAAAAAAGTTACCCGCCGTCTATTATTTTAAAACTTGTTCAGCCCACCTACCCATGGTTAAATGTCTAATTATTGAACCTTTTTAACCTACCAACCCAAGGTAAACTCCTTCTTAGAGACATTACTTAACAAGCTCTCCCAAAATATTGGACATCAATCACAAAACTGTTTTATAGATTAACTTATAGAAAAAATAACTGGTCAAATTCACAACATAAGCCATATTTTTAGGTTTCTAAGACGTCTACATTGACCTACACCTAATATTTTTCTAATATTTATTTAATAATTTTCTTCTCAAAATTTTTTTTTTAATTATTAGTTAGTGAAATGGTTGACACACATTGGAAAAACGTATACATTCGTGACAAAAAAATAGAAGTCAATTGGCGTAAGCGACCCATTACGCGCGTCAAAGTAAGGGTCTCCTAATTTTTAAATTCTATACTTATTTTTATATTTACAATGATTAAGAAATATTCTCTAATACTGGGGTAGGGGAATACGATATTTACAATTTACAAACATATTTCAGACCCTAGCGAAATTATTATGAAATATTTTTTAAGCCCAACCCGATATTCAAAAAAATAGAGGTCGATATTTTAAAATATTTCTTATAGTGTGTTCTATTGGGCTTCTATTTGTGGGACTCTATAAAAAAAAATTCAAATTTATTCTTGAGACCGAGTCCAACGATTATTTTTGGTTATTGGAATTGGAGAACTCAAACCACCGCTTAAATTTTTGTTGGAGTTATACTAATTAACTCAATCCATTTTATAATAATATGTTAAATTAAATGCTATCCTATTTGTCTTAAGATCTAAAAAAATTAACGTTTCCAGTTTGTTTATCGTTTGAGTCATAACTTTGATAATCTCGAATTGCAAAATTTGAGAACACACCAATAGGCCAACCAGCAACTCTCCTAAATTCTAACAAGTATATTGATCAATTATCTTAAAATATTTTCTAGCCATCCAAAATATAATTATTTTCAAACAACATTGCACAGGTCTTGAAAGGTCATGACGATCACGTGATAACTTGCCTTCAATTCGACGGCCGTTATGTTGTTAGTGGGTCCGATGACAACACCTTGCGCGTCTGGTCTGTTTCTTATCCCCGCGGCCCCACCCCTACTTCCTTTCCCTCGCTTTCCGACAATAACCCTTCTGCTCCTTCCCCTCATCTAGGCTTCACCCCATCAATCCATCCCGCCAATTTGAACCTGACACCGTCGGCTCCTCATCCTCTTTACAAGGAAGGGCGTTGCTTGGCTACTTTAACAGGCCACACAGGTGGAGTTTGGAGCTCGGAGATGGCGGTTTCTGTCGGTCCAGATAGGCAGAGAATTATAACGGTAGTTAGCGGTTCGACAGACCGAACCATCAAAATCTGGCGCATCATAGATCACGAAGACGATATCGATTATGACGCAGGAAAAGAGTTAGTGGACGATGAAGAAATGATATTGGAAAACGTAAACAATTATTTTCCTTCTTTATTTTGCATGATATTATTTTGGTCTTACAACAAACCTCTTTATAGAGTTTGTATATTGGTTTATTCTTAGTTTCCTTACACCATTTTAAAAAAGGCTGTTTGAATCATTGCAAGAGTTTAAATTTAAATAGTTGCTGTAAAATTGATTTTTTTTTAAATTCTAAATTATTAAGTTTTTTATATCTATAAAGGAAACTTGTTTATTTTTTTTAAATTTTAGGCCTGAGCTCGGTCCGAAATATTTTTAAACTTTTGAGCCCAGAACCTCACATAATCCAAATTTTTAATTTTACTGCTTATATTTCATGAAAGAAAATACCATAAAAACATACAAATATATAAAACAACATAATATAATATTTAGTTGATGCCCGGATCAGTTCTTGTGTCAAAAAATTTGGTCAACCAGATCGACCTATTTGGTTGGGTTGAGTTTGATGTATTTTTTCCACCGCAGCCCTGAGTCGAAGTCGTTTTAAACCCATCATTTAACAACATTAATAATAGTGGAATAAAAATTGAAAAAAATTCTGTCACAATTTTATAAAAAAAATTAATTATTTGAAATCCCCCCCCTCCCCTCCAAAGCCAAAAAATGCAGATGCCGGATTATATTTTTCAAAAATATTATTGTTAATATTAATTAAATATTTGTTAATATTTATTCCTATCTCATATATATATATTTAATTACATTTATTTATCACATTCATCTACTAAGTTATTTGTCAATTAATTTCGAAAGTTTTCCTTGGCGTAATATTTACCTATTATTTTCAAATTTTAGTGGCGTATTATTTATCTAAATTTCTAGTCAAATAATAATTATCTCTGAAACTCCTTGTCCAACAGGGAGAAAGAAATTTCCAACGAGATCGAGTCTCCGCCATCAAGCAGTTAGAAGAGCCGATTATTAATGCTATTACTGAAGTATCACAATGGCTTGAAAGAAATATTTCCTCAGAAGCAAGAAAATTATTGGATTCAATACTTATTCCAAATTTTTTTCTCATTAGAATGTATTATTTAATTATACAACTATTTTAAGTATTACTTTTCAAAAACATGACATTGACTTGATTAAGAAAATGAGAATAGCGGAGAGCATTTTATTAGAACTCAAGGAAATTAGAGCTAATGTTGATGAAGAATTTCATATTTTGTTGAGTCAAAAGCAGAGTTATACGTGTTTAATATTGCCCCCCCTCGATAAGCAAGCTCATCGTCAAAATATTAATAGGATCAGTAGAAGAGTATTATAAAACAAATGTCTCCTCTTTTAGATAAATTTATAACATAAATGATGAATGGTTTTTAATTCATCATGCAGCACTTACCAATCTGCAGATATTACTTCCACAAAAGCCTTACCAACCTTTTTCAGATGTTGATAGAAAAAAAAATATTTGTTAGATTTTTATCATGAAGATAAAGTATCTTATGATGCCTTATTAGCTGAATAACTATAAAATTAACTATGGTTGATATAGTCCCAAAAAATGCAATGGATGCTTTACATTTCAAACACATTTAAATTATATTCCCAATGTTTTAAAAGGGTTTATATATATTAGCAACTCTTCCCATTAGTAAACTAATTCTCTTTTTTAAGAAGAATAACAGAACCCTGCAGAAATACCATTTGAAGGGCACGGCCCGAATTTTTTTAAAAAAATTTTTTCGGCCCGGTTTTTTTAAAAAAAATTTCAGACTCGGCTCGGCTTTCTTTAAAAAAAAATTTAGGCCCGGCCCGGTTTTTTTGAAAATAAATTATATAAATTTTTGATTTTTATAGCTAATAATGGCGATTTCAAATATTTGGTTTTAAAATATACAGCTCGAGCCCGGGTGTTTTTTTAAAAAAAATTTCGGGCACGGCTCGGGTATGTTTAAAAAATGCAAGTCTCTGAAAAAACCTATTAAACAACGAAAGTGGATTGAATGATTTGGATCTTTTGAATATTCATAGGCATTTAACGCCTAGCAAGGATAGATAATTAAAAAATTAGCTCAAAACATACAAAATACTATTATTCCTAATTTTTTGTGTACTAATTTATATTTCCAACATTTAAATTTTTTATATTTTATAATTTCAATTTTGGGTCATTTAAGTGATTCATATCGTGGTTATATTCACTTTATATTTTATAATTCACATTTATTTTATAGTTTTTCAATACCGGTTTATATATATAATTTTTGTAATTCACATTAATTTATAATTGTGTATTAGAAAAGATATTAGTCTTAATAAATTTATGCTTAATATTTTTAAATAACAATAATATTTCTTAAAAAATTTAATTATCCCCCCCCAGACCAAATTCCTGCGTACACGCCTGGTTATTAGTTTTATTTATATAGAAAGGCGCCAACTCACTATTTTCATTTCTTGAACTAAAAGGTAAATTAAAACATTTGTAGAGCTCTATCGCACACCATTCAAACTTAGACCTAACAACATTGTAAATACGTATAAAATTAGTTTTCTAATTTATTGCCATCTATTCAATATGAGTGAAATTTAAATAAACTACCTATAACCTAATACTATTATTTATTAGTATTTTCTTTAAAGCATTTAGTTGATTAATCTGTTTTATAAATAGAATATAGTAAGGCCTTACTCGGTTTAGCTCGCCAAGGTTAACGTTAGCCGAGAGTTCTGGCTAGGGCCGATGGTAGCGTCATTAATAAAATATAAGCCTAACCTTTGAGCAGAAATATATGAATGTTATATTCCCTTCCTATTCTTCCTTTTTAGCCTGATTGAAAATTACAATTATAAAATGAATATGAATTTAAAAAATCTGGAGGTGGGAGATATTTACCATAAATTTTCTTATTTTGAATAAATTAGAGAAACATTATTAAATTATCCAACCATTGCTGAATATTTAAATTTAAAGCTAACAATAAAAGAGATTTAAAAGAATTCAATAAAATATAATTATAAAATAAGTGATATGTATAAAAACTATGATAAAGATATTCCATTTTAACATATAAGTTTAAAATATTATTAAAAATTATAAAAATCGGTATATTTATTATCAAGGAAATATTTTTGTATAAAAAAATATATAATTTAGCAATCAATAGAAAAGAAATGTGTGTTGAATTAAGAGGGAAAAAAGAGTGTTTCGAAGAAAAATTTGTAATTCCCTTTTAGGATTTCAAATTGAATTTTTGGTTTGATTGAAACTTTTTTACCCAATTGATTTAAAAACTTTAGGGATTGGGGTCCGGGGTTTCCCAAAATACTAAAAATTAGAGGGATAAAAATAAACGAATTTAGGGACCTTTGATTTATTATAGTCCCAAGAGGTCACCGTTTCCATTAGCGAGAAATGAGGTCAGATACATCCACAAGTCTTTTGCCGCCGAGCTAAGATGTTAAAGACATGCTATAGGGACCCATACCATCCTCATTTAGGAGACCTAAAGGCTTCAGGCTATTGGGGGAACCGGCCGAAATCAAAGATTTGCCGATCAATCTATTTAGATTGTCATGTCGCAAAAAACGGCCACTGACTTTAAGACAAGAGAAACAATGTCTAGAAAATGGATCAACTTGCTTATTGCAGGCAGCACAGATGTCAACAGACGGGATAAGACAATTAGCCTATGGTCAATGGCAATTTGAAACTCATCGTTTGTGAGTAACATTTCCTTTTTTTCCACTCGGGATCGCTTCTACCCATTCATGGCCGTTAGGATTTTTTTTTGCGTTTCTGAGAAATTTAAGGGTAGTTAGATTGGGACACAAAGTTTTTCAAATGCACATTGAAGCATGGGAACTAGAAAACTCTTTAAAAGGCTGGAAACGGGGTGCTCGGATCCTGGAGAACTAGAGTAAGCTAAGATTGTTTGGCTGAAGTTAAAAATGGATCGTTCAACTCGATGAGCCAGGAAATAGAGTAGTTAAATGGTATCCGCGAAGAAAGAAAACAAGCAATTGCCATTAAATTTGGGGATAAAAATCCAAGTCCTCCCTGGTAAGCAGGCAAAAAGGCAAATGACCAATTAAAATCAGAAAACTTAAGACTAAAAATGTTTAAATTTTAATTCGAAGGACTTAAGGAGGGTATTATATTGGAAAGCCGAGCAATATTTAAAGATGTGCAAGAATTTAGGTAAGAAAAAACATTTTTTGGCGAAGAAAAAAAATTGATGCTTGGATGAGGAAGATTTTATAGCGAATTAAAAAGAGATTGTATCAAATTGTCAAAAAATTTTGACAAAGGGAAGTTGAAAAGCCGATAGGAGAATCTAACAGACAGAATTCCTCGTGCGGAATAATTTTAAAATCTGAGGGAGAGATAAAATCATTATTGTTGAGGGAAGATATTTCACATATTTTTCATATTTAAGGAAAGACCAATTTTCTAAGCTTCTATTTCAACGTACTCGGTGGCCGACATAACATTGAATAAGGATCCGCTAAAAGAGCCACGTCGAAATATAAATTAAGTCTAATTTTAAATCAGGCTTTAGGCTTTAAATTTTTGATCAAATCCTAAATATCAATAGTAAAGAGCAAGAGACCTAATGAATCACCTTGCTGAATCCCCTCTTCAGACGATATGGAAAATTCCCCTAATTTGAGTACGATTAGGGAAACCCATAATAGAAATTAAGGAAATTCCAATATTTGGAGAAATTTAAGAAAGAAGGTAAAAATGAGCTCCTATGAATGCTGTTGAAGGCATTTCTGAAGTTTAACTTGCAGAAAACCTTTTCCACCTCAGTGTATATTTATAAGAATACACGCTACATGTGATGCCACTTCGCACTCAACTCTAATTCCAAAACATAACTGTGAAGGAAATAGAAGGGAATTGGCCTTAGACCGGATCCTATTTACTATAACCTTGGCTACCAATCGACGAAAAAATGGCCCTATGACTATGGGTCTAATACGACCATCCAGCTTGGTTAAAGAAACAAGACGTGCACCAAAAAGAATAGGGC